ACGGTTCCGAATTGCACTGTCTGAGCAACATCTGCGATGTAATCAGCATGAGCTGGGAGCCCTCTATCCAAGAGAGCAGCACGAAATGCTTCCGCGCGCTGTCTATCAGCCACATCCATGACCAACTTCATTTTGTAGATTGGGTCACCACCTTCCACAAAAATCTTTCGTTGCTCTGCCAGCTGTTGCGCAAACTTGCGCACATATTCTTTCGAAGCTTGCAAAAGCACACTGCCGGCGCACTCCAAAGTACGGAAGGCTACCTCTGCCAAAGTATCTTTTGTCAAAGCGATTTTGGGGGCTTCAGCAGAGAACTTGAGCACAACATACTGTCTAGGGCGATTCACAGGGAAGCCGAGGTCCGTCGGTGAAAAGTTCACAGGACTGATGCTAACAGTGTTTCCAAAGCAGACGCGAAAGAAGTTTANNTCATCGAATAGCACCATGCAAACAGAGGCAGGTTGGCTTTGTCCAACCACTTTTTGTTATTGCCTCGGGTGGAAAACGGTGTGCAAACATTGCCGCCGCAATCCAACCACAAAGTGCCTGGGTCACGATCTGGAACCCATCGACAATAGCCATCGCATTTGACACAGTAGGCTCTGTCCACAAAGCTTGCAGCCTGCCCATCCAGGAAAGATGTAGCTGCCTGGAAAAACCTGGCATTTGCTGTTTGCCAAGCTTCTGTTTGCGCTTTGCCAGACAGTTTTTTGCATTTTTCCGTGACTTCAGACAATATACCAGACTGAAGCTCCAGGAGATGCGACCAAACACTGGAATCAGCTCGCTCCAACAAATCAGCAAAGACATGTTGCGACTGAAGCAAATCCTGGCAAATGGCACAGATATCGGTTGCAGCGTAAAAGTCAAGCTGCACATGTAATCCTATACGTTGCAAAGCATCCTTCACACACTTCGCTGCTATCTCTGCCATTCCCATACCACTAAAAGCTGTGGTGACAACTACCTTGATCTCTTTCCTCATGGCCCAACCATTGTCCTGAATCATGCGCTGTGCTCGCTGCGCAACATTCAGAGGCCACTCAAAGAGCTCTGTGTAGGATCGGGGCCCAGCAGGTAAGTCAAATGAGTTTGAAGCTGCTTGCGCAGGCTTTGCATAACCAACAGACAAGCCATCTGGACCGCAACTGTATTTGCGCTTCATGCAGACAGCAACCCTTGCATCACAGCCATCAGAACAAAATTCCGCAGCCTGCTCTATCCTGCGCAGCCTACATGTGGATGTTGCACTGGAAACTGAATGTTGCACTGATGCTTCTGCTGCGAACATGAAACTACATGTGATTTCTCTGGCCATGACTCGGCCAGCCTGGACCACAGCGCAATCAGAGCCAGCACTTGAAAATGCTTCACTAGAGCACACTCATACCGGCACCTGCACTCAAACTACACCCCCGCTCGCAACAATGTTCTTCCTTTCCAGTCTACGCAGGTCAGGGTATAGAGGCAGTTGGCATCAGCAGTGCACCCCAAATGCAGCGGCGTAGCATCTGCTCCGCCAGCAAAAGTCTGTCGCACTGTCGGCAGATACCAACAAGAAAATTGTTGCGATACTTGAAGACAGCTTAAATGGACCTTAGACAGGACACGCATTTGCCCAGCAGCAGGCACAGATCACTGATCACGGTGCAACCCACAGGGTAGCTCCTCAGGCGACTGAACCACATGAGGCGCTCAGGGCGCCGGCGCCGCCGTTTGGGACGCTTCGGAAGGCTGCTGCACATTTGGAGGAACAACTTCTTTTGCTGCATTTGCTGCAGCAGGAGCTCTCAGCATATCCTCAACATGCTGAACCATCTGCTTGACAATTGGGTCATCCCTTGCCCATGAGTCTAGCAGAACTTTCAAGTCCTGGCTGTGACGCAAAGTTGAAGCTGGCACCCCAACCTTGAAGCCAAGCCAACCTTCTGCGCCTGTGATCTGCTCCACCATGAGCCAGGCAGGCGGCAGGTAGAGCGCAAAGCCCTGACAGCAGCAGATAAGAATGAACAACCTGGCGCCCAGACAGAGGCCCCGCCTTCTTGATGATTCCAGAGTACACAGCCCCACCGGCACTTGCAAAGTCTTGGATGAAATTCTCATCAATCGCCAAGAGCTTGTCTTTTGCCATTTGCAATGTGGCACCGTCTTTCGCCGTCTTCTCCAAGAAAGCTTTCAAAGAAACAGCGTTTGCCATGAGGACCTGTCGCTTTCCGCTGAGTGCCCAGCGCACGGAGCCTGCACAGAGCTTAGATCGCAGCAGCAACGTGAAAAGCCTGACATGACACAACTGCTAACACAAAAGATAAGGGCTGAGAGCCTGTGTAGGATTTCTCTGGAGTGCACTTGACTGTATTCTTCCCCACAATGATGGCCATTACATCCAGAGCGGCAGCCATGCCAGCGTCAAGGGAACCTTCAGGCCTCGATGGCTTAAATATGGCTGAAGCCCTGGACTCAACAATCTTCTTGGCTTCGGATTGGTCCACGAACTTCTTGTGGGCACGGTCAAGGCGCTGGGCAGGGTTCTGATTGTTGAACTGCTCTTGCAACTCGGCAACCATGAATGCATGGATAGCTGGGGACTTGAGAACTCCCTCCTCATCTTCAACGGAGAGTTGAATCATGAGCGGCAGGTCGGCGTTGACAGCATCCAAGGGTTCACCTTCCCTGAAACAAGGGAGTCGCAGACATGACATCATTACTGTGGAAAGCTTGCCTGTGTTCTGCACACCCTTGTTCTGCGCAGCTTTCTTTGCCTCACGTTGAGCAATCGCTGTCTTGATTGCCTTCATCCCGCGGTTGGCATCGCTGACTGCGCTTCTACAAGCAGAAATCAATTCTGCGATGGTGTCTTTGATGTCCACACATTCATCCTGAGCATTGTTGAGAGCTTCCTCATCGCTCACACCCTGCACTGCAGCTACCTGTTCCTTCCAATGCTCGAAGCTATGCAACTTTGCATAGGACTGGCACGGAGGAGCAAGCCCAAGCTGCCGGGCTCCATCCGCTGTGGAGCAAGAAGACCCCATTGCTGGCAAGTCACGCCCATAAGTGGCCAAATGCGCCGACAAGGCACACTCGTCACTCTCCAGAACATGCTTCAGGCAGCTGAGTCTTGTTTCGCCAATCCTTCTCTCACCCTGCAGCTGCTCCAGGTTCTCTGGCGAGAGGCCACTCATGTCCTTCTGGATGTTGTCCCAATCAGTGAGGACCTTCTTTGCTTGAGCAGACAACCTTTCAAGGTCCTTGTTCAAGGCTCGATGCGCCTTGACAACCTCTCTATCGCGGTCAAACCAACCTGCTTTGCGCTTGCGCTTCTTGGGATCAGCCTCCTCCTCCTCCTCCTCATCATCATCGTCTTGCGCACCCTCTTCTTTCAACTGCTTGGCTGAGGAGGTCTCATCCGGGAGTAGGTCGGTGACATTGCCCAAGAGGCCATCAATGCCATCCAAGCCTCTTGACCTGCCAACCATGCCGGCCATTTCGCGGAAGTTCGATGCGCCAGCAATCTTGTCATGTTGGAGGGTGATGTTCTTTGCTAGCTTTGCCACATCCTCAGAAGAAGCCTTCTTCAAGGTAGTGCCCTGACTTTCCACAGACCTGAGGCAGATCACGGGTCTGCGGTCACACTACGCTCCAGACCCTAGAATCCCAAAAATTGAGGAGCGCGCGCGCGCGCGCGCTCCTCGATTTCCAAAGCGAACTTTTGGAGGAAAAGTGGCTTGAACTCTTCAATGCCAAGGTCATACCAGTTCCAGATCTACAGAACGGCTCATGGCCCCCAAACAATGCACACACAGTATCGCCAAGAACCATGCAAACCATACATTGCATCTCAATGAAGGTTTCTATTGAACTGAAGAGACTTGTATACACTTTGTTCAGACAGCAACGCCAATCATTCATGAGCTCTACTTCGCAAACAACAAGTCTTTGCACCTCAACAATTTAAGCAAGTGCCTGCCTCACATTCTACCTATCTGTCAACAACGTTTCACTACAATGGGCTACATCAGCAGCGTAGTAATGGCAGCGTGGTCTCATGTGTCACACAAGAAGCTGAGGTTGCTGCTTTGATTTGGAAACAGATGTGGAGTCATCCACAAAGTCAGCCACCCTCACAGCCAGACGCAATGAAGCACCGTCGGGGCCCTCATTGTCGTAGTCAAGGCCCGACTCCAGGTACGTGGACTCCATCATCGTCCATTTGCCGTCCGCCATGGTATGGCTAAGCCCCCCTACTTTCCAAAATTCTATTGCCTGCTCGCGCCACATCAACTGGTTTCTGCCAGTCTTCTTGGTTTTCGTTGTCGATTTTACTGTTTCTATGTAACGGGTGATGGACCATGCTTCTTTCCTGGGGCCTTTGTTGTTACCAGCAGCTGCCATAGCCGCTGTGTATGATGCAAGCATGTGCTTGGTAGCATCAGCATCTTGAAGCACCCCCTCCAGCCACGGAACCCGCTTTTGAGCCTTAGCTTTCTTCCATATATTATCGAGAGCAGCCTTACACATTCGACAATTCGCCTGGTTTAAGGCGTACTCATCAGCAGGCTTGCTTCTGTGGCAGCTTTTGCAGGCCCTAGCTCCACCTTTCCCGCCACTCTTGTGGCGCCCCTTGCACGAACGCTTCGGAGCTGCCCTTGGCTTCTCCCCACTGCGCGGGCACGCCTTGGCAGCTGCTGTTCCTCGGCCTTTTGGGGTGGTTGGCGCAGGCTCCTGCTCTACATCTGAATCCTCAAACTCCAAGCCATTTGCAGCACCTGCTGCAATCCACCAGCAGCCTGAAACGAACCAGACCACTTGCACGCAGAGCAGCAACATGGCACGATGAGCACAGAGGTACACACGATGGATCAACTGCTCTTCAAGAACAACAGCTGCAAATTTGATTGCAACGAAAGCAACTTCGGATCATTGCTGAATGCACAGGTTTGCAGAGAAGTTTGGAGCCCAAGCAGTTTTTGTTCGCAAGAGCATCTCTCCAAGAAACCGCAGCCAGAGCTTTCCCCCCACCTGCAAGCAGAAAGCAATGTCCGTGCGCACACCACATGCGTCTGCAACTTCCTGGCCATATTCAAAAAAGCTTGAACAATTGCCACACACTGACACCCAGGTCTACCACTGTGACATGCTTCCAATGTGGACTACTACTGGGATTCCATTAGGTTTGCAAAAGCTTCCAGGTGCAATCTCAAAAATTCCAGGAAACTCGAGAACTTTTGACATTTTCCTCGGCGAAAAACCTGAATGGCAAGCAAATCTGACAGTTTGCGTTTCGTGGCGGGCTGGCTCGATTTGGCTCGACTGGGCTCGACTGGGCTCGACTCTAACCCCTTCATAATGTCTTCGGCTCAACTGGGCTCGACCCTGGCTCGACGCTGGCTCGACTGGGCTCGACTCTAAGTCCCCTTCGGGAAACGATGTTTTCGGTGGGCTCGACTTGCTCGACTCTATTTGTTGGCTTGCAAAACCCTCATTTTTGGGTTTTGAATGAACCTTGAACATTTTTAGAGAAATTCATGCTCAATCTCAGAAATTCAAACCGCCAGCACCAAAACAATCGCAAACTCCACCACAACCGACATGCTCCACATTCTTGCTGCCCTGACCTGTAGCACTGCCTCCGTAGGAGCCTAGCCTTGAAGAAAAGAAGGGCGCCTTCCACAATCTGGCAGAAGAGTCGTAATTGCGATATGGCAACCACAACAGCAGCTACAATGCTACAACATCAACAATCAAAGCAATAGCAGACCTTGCCCGTATGTCCGCTTGAATTACCGCAATTGAAAGATTGTCATTCTTGTTCTACAGCAAAACTGCCACACCTATGGACTTGCTAATTTGTATGCTACTACAACCTGGAAATGCCCAGGCACAAGCCGCTCACTTGCCAAACCACTTGCACACTGCTCACTGCTTCTAATGCAACTGGGGGGGTTGCATGAAAGTGTGGAACCTGCACTGAAGAAAGAACCGCTGCACTCTTGCCTTCAGGATCTGTGAGGCGCCCGGAATGAAATCGCACCTGCATAGGGCATTGATTTGCGCAAATCCCTTAATGGAAGATCTCCTATGGGTTAGGGTTTTAGTGGGGTCAAATCATCAGTTCGGGTGTACGAAGATCCTGACACTGCATATAGTGACAGAACTAGAGATAGAAACCAAGCTCCGCACCCAATTGCAACGGTTGCGGATGATGACACTGCTGAACACCTGCCGTCAGCATTAGTTGATCTATACTGCACTGGAAGGGAAGGTGCTACCGAACCTCCGCATCATTCAAGAGAACAGATCCAGGGTCCTTCACAGGCTAAGGCCAAGCAGGGGCACAGGACAACAGACACACAAGCGGCAGCTGGACTTCAAGTCGCGAGGCTCCTGAGCGTTCATGAAGATGATGAGCTGGAAGTGCTTGTAGTGGAAGAAGACGAGGAGGTCCTGCAGGTGGCACTTTCCAAAGTGATTACCTAGAGAGAGGCGCTCAAGAAAGTAAGCTCACAAAGCACCAGTCCTGGCACCGTCTGCCACACTCTCTGGATCAGAAGCAGCTTCATCACTGAGAGCAGCAGGCTCAGGCACAGACGAGCTGCTCTTGGAGGCAGCTTTTCTTTTCGCAACGGGTTTTGATTTGGGTTTGGGCTTCGGCTTAGCTTTAGCACGTCCTTTCGATTTGGGATTGGGTTTGGGGGCTAACGCTACACCCTGCTCAGCATCCAGCTCTACATCAGTCTTCACCCCGGCAGGCGCTCTTACATCCTGAAGCAAAACTTCAGCAGAAGCAATGGTGTCTGCATCAGGAGCCATTGTCTGCGAGCACACATGATGCAGATGGTCTCTCTGGCGGCTGTATTTATCATACGCGAGGGCCCAACCTTTCAAAGCTCGAACAGCTGCACTCTGCTCCTCTTGAGAAGCATTGCGGAGTTGAAGGTATTTCTTACAGGAGGTTTGGCTGTTTTTTCTGTGAAACACACAAGAGATTTCCAGCCCCCCAAAAGGCCTCCCAGCTTTTGTATTTGGGGTTTTATACGAAAACCTAAATGGCCCAAATGCTGACAACCCGGCAATACGCACAGCATTATGAGCATCTTCTGCCGCAGCCTCACCCAAATCATCTGTAACCACTGCTGGGACCTGACATGTCAATAGATCCCCTCCATTGTCCCCAACACACTCATCTTCCCCGACCACAGGTTCTGCATCTGCTGTAGGCTGACTAGGTTGCTCAATCAACTCCTGAAGTTCTTGGAGAAGGACCTCTGAATCAACACCACTGGCTTCAGAAGCCCTGCATACCTCCCCATCTCCCTGCACATCAACTGCGTGCAAGGCAGTACTGGCACGAGGGCAATCAGGCAAAGGCGGATCATCGTGAACATCACTTGTAAGAGCTTGCAATGGCCCCTGCATTTGAACGGGCTCCCCACGCAGAATAGCTGAGTAAACCTGGGCGGGCTTGGATGCCCAATGCGGAATCGAAGGCACCTTACCTGGAGTATCGCCGACAAGGTCATCTGCCATCAACAAGCAACACAAGTACTGGCAACACACAGTGTGGGAGGGGGCAAAAAATCTTTTGGGGTCACCAGGGCGATATGTCAGCGCAAGACGGTCTTTCTTAGTAGCAGGTAGCGCAGCCCACTCCCAGCCAGCACGCTCCAGCGCTAGGAGCAACTGCATAGTGTCCATCGACAGAACATGCTGCAAAGACATGTTTGCCTCCAATCTGCAGACAGGACGATGCTTTGTTAACTGCACAAGCCATGCACCACTGGCCTCATCGCACACCATCTTGCCAGGACTCCACTCAAGTAGGTTCTCACGAACTGCACATGACTCAAGAGATTGCAGCAACTGAGGCACTGCGCGTGAGCTGATGTCCACAACCGGCACATCATCAGCATCAGCATCATCATCAGCATCATTGCCAGCCGCACCTGGTTTTGCCTTACATTCATGCGTTGTGATCACTAAAGCATCTGGGGGAAAGGCTGGCGCAACAGCTACTGGGGCGGGACCCCTTTTCAAGCGGCTGGGGCGGGAGTGTAGAACCCTGAAGAACAACCTTGCAATCCCCAGCCTGGCTGGAACGAGGCTGCAACCCTGAGCATCATCCACACGTTGGGGGTCATGACTGCCAACACGCGTGTTGCTAGCAAGTGGCTGCACCGAATACATGTCCTGGAGTGGCATGGAATACACAGTGTCTGGCTGAGCATTTGCGCGGAAATGTTCAACAACACAGCGCTGCATGATTGCTGGATATGTGCGAGGGATTTCTCGCTGCAAAGCAGCATGAACCTGCTGAGCACGCGTAGCATCTTTGCGCACCTGTTTCTCATGGTTTTTTTTTGTGAATCAAAAGACGCAAACTGTTCATCCAGCTCACATCTGTGCACTATCATGGCCACAGCTCGAAGCCAAGTTGATGCTGTGAAGTCCTTCTTTTGCACTAGCTCTATGAAAATTG